ATTGTCACATTTCCATACTGACCGAAATGAAGTTATATTTTCAGTACAAAATGTACCATTTTTCAAAGAACCAAAATTGAGATCACATTGCTTTGAAATCATTATTTTTCTACTAGAATTGAAAGAATTTAAACGACTATATCTCTGTCGTACAGTCTTAAGAGAAAAACTTGTCCTTGAAAATAAAATGGCAAAGCATTCACTTTTGGGTGAAGCAAACATTCCGTAAAACAAAGAAAAACCGATTTTTTGCGGATTCAATTGCATTTATTCAGACATAAAAAGGCTTTTTCTACATTTCAACTATGTTTGATTCTTTTTTTACATTTTTAATGTGCACTGTCTATTAGCAGATACCATTAGCAGATGCATGGGTCCGACCGGTTTGTTTGATGTATTCAATTGATTACAACAACCAATGATTCATGCTCAAGTGTGGCCTGCGCAGTGGGCCCAATTTAATTGCTGGTACAATTTTCTCCAGTTCACGACGCAATATTAACATAAAATCGATATTAACTCGCAGATCCGAATCGACTTGCAACAATTCCCAAATATGTTTCAACAATTTTTTGTGAACAATTATGGCTTCGTTCAATTTACGGTTCATCATTAGATCATACAATTCGCGAATTAATTCCGGCAAGATATTCATCAATGGCAATGAAATTGCTTCGATTCCTAAAGTCGGTGAGAAAGAGAATACATTTTTTATGAATTTTTAACTTTTCATCATAGAGTGTGCGGAGGGGGGGAGGAATCACCCCCTGAAAATGTTTACTCGCACACTACTGGAATAGATCGATCGTGTAAATGGTATTATTACAAAATTATCTACCTTCAGACATGTATCCAACCATCGATGCCATGCTGCCAACGATGTAGTTGTAACGTGGTAATTTTTCTCTGATCAACGCTAGACGATCGATTTGATCATGAGCCCAATAAATTCCGGCAATCATTGGAACTTCTCTATCCAAAAGGCTCAACAAACGAAAAATGTCCACTGTAAAATTTATACGAACATATTAAAGGCGTTTTTGAAGAGAAGTATATTTGAGCCACCTAAAATAAATCAGCATTACTAGATAAATGTCTTCAAATGCGTTATAGAAAAAAGTACGTCAGCAATAGTGTCAAAAACTGTATGTGACGCGTTATATAAAAAAGTTCGCCAACAAAAGCGTGACATCGTCCATATATTTTATAACGCTTTTGCTGACTGACTTTTTTCAGTAACGCATTTGAAGACATTTATCTAGTAATGTTGATTTATTCTAAGGGATTCATTTGTAACTACCAACGCAACAAATGGGAAAGGAAGTTGTTACTTACAGCGAACTTTAATCATCGATGGAGTATGATAGTATAAGACTGGACGCGTTGGCATTTTCTTTACGAGGTCTTTCAAATACAACACCAAATCTTCTTCAACGATTGGCTTGTAGAAGAGGTCTGGCATAACCAAGACAGCGTCGACTTGCAGTTTTTCAGCGTGTTCGGCCAATTTGTACATGCTTGGAAGATCGATGCCACCAATGTTGACAATCAACACGAGACCGTATTTGCGAACGGCTTCAAGCCACACCTCAGTTACACGCATACGTTCCTCAAGCGACAATAGCATACCCTCACCGATCATACCATTAATCAAGATTCCATTCATTCCAGCGTTCTTCAAGTGTTGGACATAACGGTCGATGACGTCGAAGTTGATGGTGCGTTTTCTATAAAATAATCGAACGTTTAACACGCAACCTACAGTAATGTTTATTAAAATTTCTTTTTTCCAAATCAACACTTACTCGTCATCCAAAAATGGAGTAAACACTGAAAAATAAATGGTAAAAGTGAATAAATAGAAAGAAATCTTGCAATTTCTTTTCGAAAAATGATGATCACTGAGATTTTGTTAAGAATTTTACTGTTTGAATAATTCAATACGAACCTGGCACCAACATTCCTTTGAACGAAAAATCGGTTTTCATCTTGGCTGCTTTGGTTTTTTGTTAATTCGTACACTTGCTAAAATAGACTGTGAAACTGAATTTTTGGATGAAATGCAAGCTGTATTTATATGCAAATTTATCTGGACGCCTGAACCACCAAACAAACACGATAATTGTATATCAATTGAATACTTTGTGCTTAATTAACACAGATTAGGGTAGAAAAAATAATAATCTTAATTATTATTTGTTAATAATGACAAAAACAAAAATGTTATCAATTAATTTCAGATTTTTCAAAAATTGTTTTTTTCAAACGACCAGGAGTTGAACCGATCTGAAATGCGATTTTGTGAACAATTAGCGGATTTTCGATGTAAGTGATCTCACGGATTTTTGTGCGCTCAAGTTGGTGATGCGGGTCAAGACATATCGGTAGCAGCGTTAAAAGCAAAGTAGCTAAAATGAGCAGCCCCTGACTGTCATTTAAATTGATTTATTTTGCAAATATATTTTTGTGCTTTTTTGTGATAATGAGAATGGTTGCAATTAAGTCTTCGGCAATATGATTGTAAAATTGCAACAGCATAAAATGTACATACAGCTAGGTTCGAAATTTATTTTGAGCATGACGTTCAAAATGCAAACCAAGCGTAGATAATCGATATCATTTTTGGTGCATTAATCTGTTTGTTACAATGTTGACAGTGGCGAGAAAGCATCTTTTCTTTGAGCCAAATGATTATATTCGAACCGTTTTCTTTTTGTTTATTCAAGGACAATCATACAACGCTCTCAACTAATTCAATTTAAAAAACAAAATAATCACAGACGAAACAAGAATAAAAAACAAAATGAAATGTTGACGTTCCGCGACAAAAGTTCAATTAAATAAATAACTAATATATAAATCAGTAGTGTGCGGAGAAGGGCGGGGGTTTGATTTTTTAATGTGTAATTATACATTTTAACATTTATCGCAAAACAAACTGGAGAATAATTTGGTTGCATACACTTACACATTCACGTCGTCG